GATCGAATTATCGCTAAAATATTACAATCTAGCTTCGAATTATTGTTAAATTAGAGGCGTTATTGAAACACCACATCTAAAATCAAAGTAGTAACTATTTAATTATCAAGTAGGGGAATGTCTTACTGTGATTTCTACGGCTAGATTTGAGATTTTTTCGAGCTTCGAGTTTAAATGATTATTTTAGATAATTATGACACGGTTCAAATCTTTTATTTTCTTAATTCATTTTTTTTAATTGATTAACAAAGTTTAACTAAAATTTCATATTATAAGTTTAAAAAAATTCCAAATAACAAAAAATGTTTAAAAACCTTAAAAAAAAATTTATTTGCAGGCTTAAACTTTTAGTCTTATATATAAAACAAAAATTGAAATTCAGATTTAAGAAAATATATTATTAAGTAATATTTATATAATTTTTTTTTTTATATAATGGAAAAGCTACTTTACCGTAGCTATGGTGGGTCGGGCTGAGTACGGAACGTGTCTTCGGTAGGGGTGATAAGAGAATATTCAGTATGCTATAAGCAGGGCTGGGCCAAGTCCGAAGTGAATGAGTGTAGAGCTTCCAATTGTATATTTGACTATGTACAAATGTTTTCAACAATTGTTTTTGGCTCAGTTGGCAAAAGCATTTTAATATATGGAGTAGGTAACACGTTCGAACCTGGAAACATACAAAGTGATCTCAATTTTTTTTTTCTTTTTCCGTCCAAAAATAGCTAAATTTCCAAAAATGGATAAAAAGTTCAAAACGTAAAATTATATATTCATTGAATAAAATTTTATTTCGCAACCTTATCACAATATTTATACATATAAATGTTATCAAAGAATGTAAACAAACATAGCAATTTCCATCGAAAAATAACGGATAACGGATAATCAGAACACGTCAACCACGAAAACATAAAAACTATCGGATAGGATTAAATTAAAAAGGTAAAAGCCATTCAATTAATTATACACGTGACGCAAGTCGATTTAATGTAAATATCTCGACCGAGGATTTTCCATTACAAAAATGTATCAATACACAATCATCGAACACACTATAAATACACGTTCGAGCAACCTAGGTCTAATAGAAATTTTTATTTTATTTTACCAAAACACATTCACAGTTGATCGGGCTGCCCTCCACGGGTCGACGGGCCGGCCCGATTATCCGCTCCTTTACATATGTGAATCTTTTGGCGGACAATTTCAAGCTCTTTCTCCGCCTTTTCAATCTCGATACTAAGCTTTCTCGCCACCGAAAAGTGGCCGTGCACCGGATATTCCAATCTCATTCTCGCCTCCATAATAAGGCTCTCAATGGCGGCATCTCTTTCATCTTCGTCCACCGATTTCAGTATTTTCAGCGTGTTCTGGATGCCGAAAAGGTGGTACACGTTTTCGTAATCGTCGGATTTTTCCGCCGGAAAATACTTCGCCAGTGCACAGTTTTGATCGCATTTTCTGCGGTGGTGCTTGCATGCAGCGCAAGCTTTGTGGACTGATGGACCTGCGTTTGCCATTATATTATATATAAATATATTAATTATATTAAATCCCAATTAGATGTTTTCTTGTATTTTCTTTGTTATTGCTTATGTGAGATGAATTGAAGAAGAAGAGGGAGGGTGAATCATTTATAGTGAAAATGTGGGTGGATTACATCATCATGTAAAAAATCCTGATTTTCGTTTTCTTGATTTTTTGTTTTTAAAATAGCTAAGTTTAATTGCTGTTGGATTTTAATTTGTGCATTGTGGGAAATGGTCATTAAAATAATTGCTAACGAAAATAATGATACTGAAATGTAATATATATTAACCTTTTTCCTTAATCAGTAGACTATGAACGAAATTGTAAATAGAAGATTCCAAATTGCAATGCTTAAATTTTGTATTATATTTGTGTATCTTATTTGATTATTTGTTATTTTTATTATTAAGTCATCAATTGATTGACTAAATAGTAGGAGTTATAAGTAGTTTGTTCGATCGGAGTTGAGACGTTACACCCGATGAAACACATCGGGTAATTTTTAATCATTGTTGTAGTGAAATAACTTCTTGCTAAGCACGTATATATACATGGGTACTGCATGTGATTATGTGCAGATCAATAGTTAATAATCATTAGATGTTATAGGTAGTTAATAAAAAAGAAAAATAAAACGACTTATCCCTAAAATACTACAACGTGTATGCTTATTGTCAAATTAGAGATGCATGTTATTGAATTACATGACATTTGGCATCGGAATTTTGGCATTTTTAATTCTAGATCTAATACAATAAAAAAAACTTTTAATTTTAGTATATATATATATATATATATATATATATATATATATATATATATATATATATATATATATATATATATATATATATATATATTTTTTTTTTCAATTCAACTTTAATTTTCAAAATAATTTTTTTTTCTAGTATACATGAATAACATTTACGACACCAACATTACATGCATTTTATTGTGCTAATTTAGACAAAAAAAATCTGATTTTGGAATATAAAAGTTTCATTTCAATTTTTGAAATTTCGATGACACAATATTTATGATTTTTCTAAAAATATGAGTCTGCAGTAGTTTTTTCATTTAAAGAAAAAAAGTGATTTTGTTCTCCCTGAAAATGGTAAACTTTGATCCGTCGTCTAATTTTCACACCCAAACGATATCGAAAACAAAATTATTTTGTAAAAATCAAAGCAAATATGCTCGAGGGATTTTTAAATTTTCTTTCTTTTTTTAATAATTAATATCAATCGATTTGTTAGTAAAAATTTATACACAGATAAAGTAGAGAAAATCTTCCATGGTAATCTTCTATAGCAAAGTTCATTCATTGAAAATTAACAGAAAAAAGTAACGGATAAAAAAACATATCAATTTTACACGTGACATAATTCGATATTCAATGTAAATATCACGACAGAAGATTCTCCATTAATAAATTGCACTTCATCATCTACTATAAAATATAAATACACGTTTCTGCAGTCTATCTCTAATACCTAGCTAGAGCTAATTCAAATCCACATGTAACCGCATTTTTGGGGTTGATGAATTCTGATTCCGGTTTGATCGGGCTGCTCTTTCCGGGCTGGCCCGATGAGCTCGGAACTTTAAAATTGGTCATGTACCGGATTTCGACTCCAAAATAATGCTCTCAATAGTCATATTTCGTTCTTCTTCCTCCATTGATATATTTTAATATTATATATATTGATCGTGTGTTTAGTTACGAATCCCAAATAATTTGTGGGCGTTCTTCTTCCATTTCTAATGGAAAATATTTCTTTATGAATTCGGGCCACTAAATAAGACTCTCAACAATTTTATCACCCATATAATTGAAGTAGAAGTTGTTGAGAGCCTTATTTTGGAGGCCGGAATTAATGAAAGAAAATCGAGGGCCTGGCCGTTATGAAATACTATCAACCTAGAAATATAGGTTTTTTTGCAAGAACCACCCCTCTGTAATTTCGAATTGCCGAAAAACTCCTCGTGTTAAAAAAATTAGCAGGAACCCCCCGATGAAAATTAGTCAAAGGCGAAAAAGTCCTTGACAGCATGTCGTGTGTTGTACGCGCGGCTTGTGTAACTGAGAGTGTAATTTTTAAGGTGAAAAGTTAAAAATACCCACTTAAATTCTTTTATAAATAAACATAAATCTAGTTGGGTTTTAATGTAAATAATAGAAAAGTTTGGATCTAATTATAATTTTCAAAATTTCTTACGCAAACAAAAATTCTACAGTCGAATTTAAAAAAATAGATCTCAATTTAACTCGTCTTCTTCCCAAATTTCCTCCTCCTACTGCCGCCCCTTTCCTCCCACCGCCGGCCTTCTCCAATCTTTTCCTCCACCGACAACTTTTCTTCACCAACGCCAAGTGCTTGAACCCCCCAGCCCTCCGCCGTTCATCGGTAATGGAGGATTTTCAGTACATGCGTCCTTAAACAATATTTTTCCGGCGAGAAGAACCGGATCCGACTACGGGAGTTATTTCGGCGAGAAATAAGGGTGGGGGACTGGCTAAAGGTAGATTCGATGTGGGCAAACATTTTCCGGCCAAATTGAACAGTAACACTTCGATTCTGGCGAGTTGTGTGGAATGATTACTGAAAAATTATTAAAATCTAAGGAGATGAATGTTTTGGGGAGGATTTGAGTGAAAAATTATTCAAAAAAAAGGAAAAAAAAACAATAGCTCATTTTTTTTCACTGTTGTTTTTGTAAGATTTTCTTTTTTTCTTTTAATAAGATTTTTCAGTGTGTTGGGGAAGATTGTTTTGGGATTTGATCTGAATTCCGTTTTTTACTTTTTTTTTTTTTTTTTTTTTACAATTTTATGTTTATTTCGTAAGGGTAAATTAGTGATTGTATGTAAGTCAATAGCTAATTTTAACGAAAGGGGCAGTGTGCTACGTATAAAACAACATAGGGGGGTTTGTGCTAATTTTTTTAACGCAGGAGTTTTTTAGCCATTCGAAATTACACATGGGGTTATATGCAATTAGCTCTAGAAATATACGTAAGTTTTGTTTAATAATTTATCAGTTTATATAGTGTAATACTAGGGCCTCATTTGGTTGGGATATTATCCATGATTAACTAAATAGTTGGACTTTGTTTGATAGTTGGTATCCCCAATAACTTATCGGGTTGACCCGCAAATATTATGTTATCATGGCTTATCTTGTCTTTTAAGCATATTTTTTGTTGGACATTCCAAACTTCAATAAAACAATTGGGTCATTATATATAAATAAGCCCATCAATGGGTATTTATTCATAAAGAGATCCAGACAAAAAACGCACTTACAATGAAACAAACTTTTAATTCTAGTATATATATATTTTCAATTCAACTTTAATTTTCAAATTTTCATTTTTTTTCCTTCCGTTCATGAATTACATTTACGACACCAACATTACCATGCATTTTATCATGCCGATTTCGATCCAAAATTTCTAATTTTAGAATATAAAAGTTTCATTTCAAATTTTGAAATTTCGATTACATAATTCTCAGGATTTTTTTTAAAATTGAATCGGTAGTAGTTTTTTCATCTAAAAATAAAGCCTATTAATTATTAGGGGTAATATGCTAGGAGTCCCTCAAACCAAACCTAATTTGAACTAAATGACAAGTCCATATTTACTCTTTTAATTAAATCCTTAATTTAAAATAATATATGAGTCACATCCCTAATATTTTTAATATCCCAATCTTGCCCTTATACCCTAAATCTTATAAACTAAATATTACGTTTCTCTTTATCTGATCTATTCTTCTTCTTCTTCTTTTTTCTCTCTCTCTCTCTCTCAATCTCACGCGCTCTCCCTCAATCTCGTCTCTTCCTCTCTCTCAATCTCCCGTATTCTTCTTCTTCTTTTTTTCTCTCTCTCTCTCAATCTCACGCTCTCTCCCTCATCTCGTCTCCCCCTCTCTCTCAATCTCCCGCTTTCTCTCCCTCAATCTCACTCTTTCTCTCGCCACCACTCCATGATTGAGGAAGGTGGTGGCTATGGCGACGACCACGACGGTGGAGGCGGCTGTCCAATGGAAAATAACTATGAAGGTAAGAAAGCTACAACGGTGGGAGGAGGCGTTGTGGTGGCGCGGTGCTGGGTTGTTGTCCCAGCGGCACGCTCGAGATTCGAGGATGATGCTGGTGGTGTGGTGATGCTGGGGTAGGCGACGGCAGAGTGTGTGGGGTTGGCGATGGTGGCGTGGATGGGAGTGGGTGACCTTGTCGTCACAGATCTAGGGTTTGGAGGGGTGGATCTAGGGTTTGGTTTGGAAGATTCAAAATTTTTCGATTTGATTTATGCAGTTATCTATGAGTTACTATGAGTGTCTGACGGCTAGGGTTCAAATGAGGAGTTAGGGTTTCAAGAATATGGGGTCAGAGATGTCTACGGTTTACTATGGTCTTCTGTGGTATCCTATGGGTGTCTATAGATGTCTATGGTCGATTTTTTTATTTTTTTTTATATTAAATTTATAGTTTTCAATATTATATAGAAAAATATATATTTCTATAATAGTGAAAAAATACGAAAATGAAAAAAAAAAAAAAAAACGTTACATAACGTTCTTCACATAATGTTCTTCTACGTAAAAAAATAATAAAATAATGTTAGATCCAAAAATATGTTAAATAAAGAATAAAAAAATGATAAATGCAATTTAAATATTATTTGGTGCATATTTTATATTTTGTGAATGAAGGGCATTTCTGGAATGAAATTTATAAAGGATGTGAAGCAAAAGTTTAGTTAGACTTGTTATTTAGTTCTAATAAATTTTGTCACCAGGGACCTATATCTTAAGACCCCTAATTATTATAACAATCAATTTTATTTTATAATTATTGTTACTTTTTAATTAATTAATAAATATAGATTTATTAGTAACAAATGTACACAAATATAGTAGAGAAGATTAACAATAGATAAATAAATTATGTACGAGCAATATATCAAATTAAAAATAAGATTA